CCTCGGCACGTGCTGTGAGTGTCATTGTGGCCCCCGGGGCTTCCAAAGTTGAGTGGCCCTGCCTTAATGTCTTGATAATTGTCTGGTGACGTTTATCGTTTAGTGATCGGCACAGATAGGGAGTAAGCTTGGTTCCACGTTATGATGGAGCTGAAGAAAAAAGACGCTGGGAATGATGAGATGTGCACGTATTGGACGACCATGTGGCCGTAGGCGTGGGAAGTGCTCGGGCGGGCCACTCTTTTTCCGGATGTTCCATCTGCTGGACTGCTCTGCCAAGGAGGAGCGGAATGTAGGGGCGGCAGCTATAAGAGGTGGAGGATGGCAATGCCTTCCCACACCACCAGGTATGGCCCCACCCATGCTCCGCCCCCGGCTTCAGCATGGCTCCCAGGCTTCAGCCATGCTGGGGCTGGGGAGGCTGGAATCAGTGAGCCCTCCCTGTGGGGGGCTGGGGAGGGTGTCTATGGCAGAACAGATTGCGGGTGCTTCTCTTTAAGGAGGCCCTGGGCCAGTGGTCACCAACCAGTCGATCGGGATCTACCGGTAGATCTTGGAGCCTCCGACAGGTGATCCTGGACTGGTTTGGCCAAGAGGCTAGCAAATGCCAGCACTTCAGCTGCCCTTCCCCCTACTGCTGTGCATCTCCTGCCCTTTGCCTTGGAGCTGGCTCTCCCACCCCCGGTAGCCCTGCTTGCTTGGCAGGGCAAGGCAGGGCTATTGCCACAGAGCAGGGCGGGTGGCACAGCAGGACTTGGGAGGGAGTTTGCTGGCTGCTTTTGAGAGGGCAGGTCCAAGGCAAGGGTGAGCCTGCCTTAGCCCCACTGCACCACCACCCAGGAGCCACCTAAGGTAAGTTGGGGCCAACTGGAGCCCACATCCTGAAACCCTACCCTAGTCATGAACCCCCTCCTGCACTGCGAGCTCCTGCCCTAGTTCTGAGGACTCCTGCATCCAAACACCCTTCCAGAGCCTATACTCGGGATCCCCAACTGCCTGCCCCAAGCTCAGCTCAGAGCCCCTCTCGCACTCCAAATCCCTTAATCCAAGAGCATAACCTGCACCCCAACCCTCTGCCCCTGCCTGGTGAAAGTGAGGAAGGAGCAGGGAGGGAGGGAGGATGGGGTGAGCAGGGGCGGGGCCTCAGAAGAGGCACAAAGGAGGCAGGGCAAAGGTATTTGGGTTTGAGGTAGAACTTAGATTGCACTTAAATTCAAAAAGTGATCTCGTGCTTAAAAAGGTTGGAGACCGCTGCCCTGAAGGGTAAATCCGCTCAGTTCCAGGCACAGGCTGAATCTTGACCCAGGCTGAGTGGATTTTCCAAGCGCCATTCTCAAATACAGCTAAAAATAAGGACAGACTGTTTCTACTTGCTGGAAGAAAAACAATGGGTTTCCCTTTAAATGAAAGTGGGAAGTGGCTATCTAAGCCACTGAAGAAGAGACACAATAGAATATGAACATTTTTTTTTTTTTGGCAAGGAGGAAGGATATTCTCATTGCCAGTATACAAACAGCTTGTTCCTGTTTTGATTTCTCTTTTTATCCATGTTTTAAGGTACTGTCTCCAAGTTTATATCAGTCTTACAATAACAATTGCTCTAATGAGGTTTCTGAGTTTCTTGGAGTGACTTTTTGCACTGTATTGAGTTAATCAACTTTAAGTACTTTCTGAGCTGTGCCCTTTTAATGT